TAGTCAAATGATAGTTGTTTGGACCATGGATAGAACAAGTATGATGTTAGGGCCTCTACTAAGGAGCCCCCAAAATCATGCTGAGAGGGAGCAGCCTATACTATGTATAATTCAAAAGCAAAATTTAGAAAAAGCTGACTGCTAGGGAATGTGCCCCATCAGGATCTATACTAATGGAGGCTGCCCCATGACCACCTGAGGGGAGGGTGGCAGGGGGGTGTCAAGTCCAAGAAGGTTTAATCAGTAACCTGAAAAATAGGTGAGATGATAGAGAAAGCAGGAAAAGAGGTTGGGCACTTAGCTTATTTATATGACAACCTCTATACCAGCTCCGAGGGCAAAGAGTATCCTTTCCCTGGCAACAAGTCAATAGACTTTCACCAGCTTGAACTGTGGACTTATAGGTTTGCCACTAAGCTCAGCACCCTTCTTTACATGCTCATTAGACAGGTACCAGCTCACAAGCTGAGCTCAAGAGCAGTTCTCTCACTAGTGTCCTGTTCTTTCCAGTGTAACCACCCCACTCTCCCGCTCATAATTCTTTTTCTTCTTCTTAGAGCAATGTCTTTATCTCCCTTAGAAGATTTCTTCAGCCCTCCCAGCACTTCTCAGTGTAGACTCTGCACACTTTTTCTTTCATGAAATAAGACTGGAAAGCCCATAGTTTTCATTTTGTAACCAAAAACAAACTCTAAAAGAACAAAGAATTATGAGGCATCAGAATCATCCTAATACATTCTAGCATGAGAAAGCACAAAGGTACTGATGAAGGGCAGTAGCAATACCTGTCAGGAAGCTGCAAGGAGAGAGATTAATTCCTGGTTGTCAGTCTCAGCTCCTAAGACAAAGGCCTATCAGCCTTATTGATGAGAGTATATTCAAGACCCTTTATGGGAAAACCAAAGTCTCTTCAACAAATGATGTTGTAAGAGAACTGGATGTTCAAAGGCAAAAGAGTGGATTTGGACCCCCTACCTCACACCATATACAAAAATTAATTCAAAATGAATTAACACCCTAAAGGTAAAAGATAAAACTATAAAACTTTTTGGAGAAAACATAAAATAAAACCTTATGACCTTGAATTTGAAATGGATTCTTATGACAACCAAAG